TATATATATATATATATATATATTTCTACGAATTATATCGATAAGTATGCCATTTCTTGCTAACTTCAGTTTATATATTGAAATTTGTAATAAATGCAATTGCTATAACGTACTTTCCTTATTTAATATAATATAAAAATAGATAAAAAATATTGTCAAAGGTTCGACAAAGTGCAAGTGGTTATTCATCTTTGAAGCTCGTATTTCTATATATTACATTTATCTTTTTATCTTTCATTATTTTACTCCCCGTTCTCTTTTACTTTGACCGCGTGTGCGGCGAATGCGTGAAGAGAGGCACAGGTTTTCCTTTTGTAACACTCACCACATACCAATTATTGATCCCCCTTAATAAGGATAGTAACATTTTCAAAGAACCACTTTACTTACTTATTAGAAAACCAATAAGATGATATTACCTGTGCTCCCTCGTTATTGAACCTTCCTTTTTTAAAGCTAACCTTGACTTTGCAACTTGCAACTCGCAAACTTGCATTTGAAAAAGTTTATTTTTAGAAATCATATGAATTGTAGTTATTAATAAATGGCACCTTTTCGATAATTGTGTATGTTTTATTATGATCGTTAATCAAATTAAAACAAGATGAAATTGACACTAGATATATCACCATTTTTTCGATATAACTATTTCTACCACACTAGTCAAAATGACTGATGTATACAACAAAAAGTGCTTTTTGAAACTTCCAGTTTTTATTTACTCTTAAAAAAAAATAACAAAAACAAAATTTTTAACAATAATAATTTTAATAAATAAATGGATTTATAGACATTTTAAAATTATTTACAGAAATTAAATGTTACATGAAGTAGAATATTGAAATTAAAATGGCTGGTCTGGTCTGGTATATCTAATGTTAAAGATCATAATTGAAATAAAAATGTTCTCATGTAAAAAAGGATAAAAGGAAAGGGTGTTGAAGATGGTACCAACCCTTCCCTTCCACTCCTTCTTTTATGATGACGTGTAAAAGATAAATATTTGCGTACCAAAGTTAGGGATTTACAAGAACACACACACACACACACACACANCACACACACACACACACACACACACACACACACACACACACACACACACACACACACACACACACAGATTTTGTCTGTGTGTGCGTGAGAACAGAAAGTCTTTTTACGTCGCGTCACGTTTGGTCAATATTAAACGTTCCGAGTTAGTTTGACGGATATTTACGGTTTCTTTTTCTTTTAGTTCTCTCAATTGATGTATCGATTAATCGATAAATCAAACAGCCGATCAAATCGAATCAACACTCGTTAGGTCATGTGGTGGTAAAGCTCTTTTCAAATTTTCACGAGAGTCTTATCCTAGAAGAATCTTTTTTTTTTTTTTCGCATCTAAATCCTCAGGTAGAAAATAGTTGAAATATTTCAAACCTTTTCTTTCTTTTTCTCTATTACTATTATTACTATGATTCTCTTTTGATGTATTTCGAGAAGGATGTTTTAAAGAATCTGTTTTCATTTTAATAAACAAATCTTTATTACATATTTATCTAATATGAATTGTATAAACTATTCTTTTAGTTTTTTTTTGCATTGAGATTATTCCAATTAGATTAACGTAGGATTTAAAATCTTCTAGGAATTTTTGTATAGTAATCAGATTTTATTGGTTGTATAATTCGTGCAAAACTAGAGACATCTAACTGAATTTGTTTTATTATCAAAATTCTATACACATTTTTTTTTATAATTTATTTAAATATATATATTCAAAGAATTGTTTCATATTTGTGCAAAACTATTGGGTTGTTCGGAAAGTTCGTGCCGTTTTGCGATAGATGGCATTAAAGTTCTTTTGCTAAAAAACCTGAAAAGTTCTGGAAGTACGAAATTTTAAAATTATTATATTATTATATTTATGTATTATATTTATTATATTATTATATTGTATTATATTTATATATTTATTATTATATTATATTATATTATATTTATTATATTTATAACTTTATTATTTATTTTATATAATTTTAAAATTCTTTTGCTAAAAAACCTGAAAAGTTCGTAAAGTACGAAATTTTTTTAAGTTATTATATTATTATATTTATTATTTATTATTATATATTATTATATATTATTATATATTATTATATTGTTTTTATTATTATTATATTAATTATAAAAATAATATAATAATTTATAACAAACAAAAAAACTTAAATGGGTTGCATCTTCCATCTTCCGTCAAAGTCGGCACGCGTTTTTCAGGACAACCCAATGAACAGCCACAGCCAATGGACACCTAACTACATTTATTTTTTTTTTTTTTATAAAAATTCTACACATATTATTTTTATAATTTATTTAAAAAATTTGTTAATAATCTTTGTTTTTTTTTTTATTAAAAATTTGTTTATTCGTATTTTGATTATCCTTCAATACATAAAATGAACATAAGTGGCTTATAAACAAATAAAAAATGTGCGATTTCGTGTTGCATAATAATAATGATGCGTTTTTAATGCAGCGTAACCTTGTCTATTGTATATTTTATTAGCTAACACCGTGATGTCAGACAAATGTTCTCCTTATTATACACAAGACCATGGTTTTTTTTTTTTTCTTAACACGAACAAAAGAAATATTCTCATAATGCTTTAAAGAGTACTCGAGGTTGTTTTTTTTTAGTAAGTAAAAGGCTAATATATGAGAATGAATATAAAACGTATAAAAAACTTGAAGTTTCAAAACATTATATTCACTTAAAGATTTAATGGTAATCCTAAATAAAATCAAAGTTTTTAAAAATATGTTTTAAACGTTGATAATCGTTTTATTTCATTTTTATTTGAATTATGAGCCTCTTGGTAAATAGAATTAAAAAAAAAAAAAAAATAAATAAATGTTGAACGTAAAATATTGGATTGTCCGGAAAGTTCGTATCGATTTTCGGTAGATGGCATTAAAGTTTTTTTTGCTAAAAAAAAACCTGAAAAAAATTAGAAGGACGAAATTTTCTAAGTTATCTATAAAAATGGAGGATACTTATGTTATATATTTATAAAATAGTTAAATAATTAAATAAAATAAATAGTTTAATAATATTAAATACTTATAATATATATAAAAAACTAGGGGTGTCCCGCCCTTGCTGTGGCTCACAATCAGTCCGATACACACGTCTTTAACGAATTACCTTATACCGCCATCTGTTAGAATCATGACTCTTTGTTAATAAACAAATGATTCGCAATAAAATAATTTTGCGATTATAAATTGAGATATAAACTATCCTATCTTTCAAGTTGGATGAAACTGCACAAAGTGTGCAAAATTTGATTAAAATCGGTTCAGTAGTTTAGGAGTCCATTGCGGACAAACAACGTGACACGTAATTTATGTATATTAAGATTATATAATATAATATAATGTAATAAATAAATATATATATAAAAAATATACGTAACATAATAAAAAATATAATAAAATTAATTATATTATGGGTTGGCAAATAAATGATTGCACATTTTGTCGATAGGTGGCCTTTTAAATCAGCAATTACTTAGTTGCCAACCCAATATTATATATATATATATATATATAGAATACTTATATATAATTTATTAAATATATACAAAAAAAAAACTTCAATTGCAAAACATTTCAATCTTTCGTCAAAATCGTCACAAACATTTCAGACAACCCAATAAAATGAACGAAGAAGTATAATACTACCTGTTGTCTGCCAATGAAAGAGTTTGAAATTAAAGGTACACACATATATATATATGGTGACGACTATAGTTATACATTTCTCTAAACTCTTGCATTACTATACGCGCGAAGAAGCTGGAAAAGACGAATAATAAATGGAAGCGTGGCATTGAACGGACAATGGCTTGGAATATCCACCTTGTGTGCTGGTAATGTACAACAATAGAAAGACCTCGGTAGTGGAATATTAAAGCAAAAGGTCTGGTTCCGTCTCTCTCTCTCTCTCTCTCTCTCTCTCTCTCTCCCTCTCTCTCTGATCATCCTTTTATGTTATTTTCTCTTATTTTGTATGATATTTTTTTTTCTATTTGTAATACAAAATATCCAAAAGTTGCATTAACGTGAAAAGAATAAATGATACATTGAAAAAAATTCATACTTTTTTTTTATTTAATATCAGATTTATGAACTGAATCATGAATTTTTTGGTGAATACATTTTGTTTAAAAATATAATATTGATTTTAAATATCATAATATGAAATATATACTCAAATAATTTGAAAATTTTTTATCTTATTATTTTAAATAAAATAAAATAATTTATTTTTATTTTATTTATATATAATAAATAAATAAATTAATATTACAAATAAATAATTATAAATAAAAAAAATATGAGATCTTTAGCACTTAAATACGCTATCTAGTGGCTGAATTCAAAATTAGAATAGATAGGTCGAATTGCTACGCCACGGCCCTGCCAGAGATCCCAATATAAATATATTTTTATTTTAATTTTAAGAAATAAATTTTTTTTAAAATTAAATTTAAAAGAACAAAAATATATTTATATTAAAGATTAATCAATTTTAAAATATAATTACAAAGTAAAATTATTTTAAACTAGGGGTGCCCCGCCACGCGTTGCTGTGGCTCACAATCAGTCCAATACACACGTATTTAAGTCAACGAATTATCTTATACCGCCATCTGTTAGAATCTTATCGAACTAACAGAGATAATCATGACTCTTTGTTAATAAACAAATAATTCGTAATAAAATAATATTGCGATTATAAATTGAGATTTAAATTATCCTATCTTTCAAGTTGGATGAAACTGCACA